AGTATTCTGTTCTTCTCTCTCGGCACAAGCAAATATATCTCCTCCTTGAACCCCTTTAGACCCTCCGTTTCCAGCGTTTCAATCTTCGTCGATGTCGAGCCCCTTCCATACGTCCTCTACAACCTTGACCCATTCCGTGGGTTGTCTACCCCTCTTTTTGTTTGCCCACTTCGCCTCCCATACAATTCTCGGCAACCTCTCCTCTCCCATCCCGCACATGCGATACTGCCAGGTCAGCTTCCTCGCGTCTCTTCCCGACCGTAGGGATTGGATCCCCAATTCTGCCCTCACGGCTGCATTACTTGTGCGCCTGGAGCATCCTAGGATGATTTTCGCTGCTTTCATCTGCGCCGCCTCGAGTTCTTTCACTACCTTCTTATTTCCTTCCCATACTTCTCCGGCGTACTCTAGCGGCGGTACGATTACGCTCTTCAAAACCGTCAATTTGATGCGTGTATCGAGGTGCCGGTTTGCGAGTATTGGGTGCAGCTTCCCTGCTCGTGCTTTGCCCTTTTCCGCTACCTTGGACATGTGTGCATTCCACGAGCAGTCTTTTGCGATCTCTACTCCAAGGTATGTGTACTGGTCCACTACTGCAATCTCCACGATCCCCCACTTCCATCTATGTTCCACTGGTTCCTTCATGTTCTCGTTGCATACCATGACGGCCCTCTTCTTGACGTTGGCAGACAATCTCCACTTATCAGCAAACTTCTTCGCCGCGTCAATTTGCAGTTGCAGTCCCTCAGGGGTGTCCGACATACCGACAAAATCATCCGCAAACAGCATTCCTGAAACCGACGTTTCCGTGTCCCCTACTTTTACTCCCTTCCGGACTGCCTCTACGACTTCCAACAGATCGTTGATGAACACCTGGAACAATGTTGGGGACAGCGTGCAACCTTGTGGGACCCCCTGCTCAATGTCGAAGAATTTTGACAGTTTTCCGTCTAACATGACCGCGCTTTTCGTACACTCTGTCATCTTTTTTAGCACTCTCCACATTTTCCCCTTGATCCCGTATTTGGACAGTTGTTTCCACAACCCATTTCTCCACACGGTGT